GTGCAATTCCGACACCCAGTCCGGCAGCAATTCTCTCGGTAGTTTCCGACACATTCTTGATGTATGGCAGCGCACGGCATATCGTAGGGGTTGGTTCTGGGCGGGTCCTTGGAAGGTGGGCACATCGGCATCGGTTTATGGAGGCCTTTGGATGACCATTTCGCATAAACTGGTTGCGGGGATATCAGGCCTCTCGTGACTTTACCTCTAGCTTACTGCAGTGATTCCGGATTTGTTTGAACAGCCTTCTACCGTAGCTTTGTTTGTTAGACACTGGATGTTTGTTACGACATTTGAGAATATGTGTGGTGTTTGTCAGGAGCGTGGTGTTTCTCCAGGTCTCCTAAACTCGATCAACGTGAAGGTCAAGGTCTAGCGGTGGATTTCAATTCAAATATGAGTGTCAGGTCTATATAAATCGATTTATACAATAGATCAAATGACTTATAGTCTTTACTTTTCTTATATGCATTATTTCGTAAGTACCAGTAGCTACTTTTTGCAAAACCTGCTGTCATATCCTTCGTTGGTTTCTTTAAATACTTCTCCTGGATGCTCATTTAGCATTCTACTATGCATTTGTCTTGCTATCAGTCCTTAATATAAGCTTAAACCGTTAGATTATTTCTGAATTCCGGACAATTTCTGTAGTTTTTCTCCTTGCCACTCCAAAAAGAATGAAGGCAACAGTTTTATTGCTTAGAAAACTTCAGATACCTAGATCCACTCGGTGTTTAAGAGGAGCTAATAAAATAATCAGTGACATCAGTCTTCAGCCTGACATCAGTATTCAGCCGAGAGTTAGGGCCGAACAAATAAGTTTTTATGCGATGAAAAATTGCAACGAATTTATGCTCAAGTTTGACTCGGTTCTCTCCATTCTTGGGACGTTCTGCCATGGCATCTTTGTGTCTCTGTCCCAGGCATGCAGGCGTCTAGATACACTCGTTCATTTGGTCGCAAACTAATCGCAGGACAGGCAGAAAAGAACGTACAACTTCACTCTGAAAAACGTTCTGAAATCCGCTCGGTCAATGGAAGTTGCTGTGCACTTTCTGCAATCTTGTGGATTTTACAATAAATGGCAGGGTATATTAGACTGTCCTCTCGTAGCAATAATCCACCTATTTTTCTTAAACTCTTATCATCCGTTGAAGTTGACTCCATTTTCAAACCCCGAGATCTGGTTTCCAAATATCTCGAAAATACAAAACATTTTCTTTGTCATGATCTAACTCCATTGGTGCTAAGCATAGAGTTCAATTCTTCCAATGAAGGTTTAACTCCGCCGCCACCCACTCAATTTCCCGGCCGTAGCTCTAGGAAGCTTAAGGGTCACGTAGTCATACTCCTTGCAAACCTGGCTTACCGCTCCCCGGTAATGCAACCGTATATTCACCCTCAAATCACCCGACAGCCCGTCCTTTGTTGCCCTGGTTAATAATTCTGGTAGCTCTACTAGAACTTCCGAAATTCCGTCTACGTCAGGTAGACGAAAAGCTTCCTTATGCAAACGAAGTCCTTCCAAAATTTCCATTAAATCCCCGAAGTCAGGTCGTCGAAATGGCCTGATCCAGAAATCAAGCCCGAGCTTTCTGCCTTCCAAGGCACTAACTAAGCATATACAGCAGGACGATAACATATATGTGGGTTAGCCTACATATCTTAACCATCAAACTAGAGTAGGATTTCCACCCATTAATCGTCATAGTTGCTCTGCGTCGCCACCATCCTCTATTTTCTGTCTAGGTGTCCCGCACTTCCCTGTAACTATCAACAAGCTTATCATGATACTAATCCTTATTTCCCTTTGCTGTCGCAAATCTACCCACCTGCAGCTTTTAGGTATTCCCCTCTGCCTTCTTATGCCAATTATCCTGATCTTGTTGGTAGCTACTCTTCAAACTTTCAATTAAAATACCCACCTCCACTTTTTATTTCTAAATAATGATAACCCTAGTTCGCTTACGCTAACTAAACTAGACATCATCTTGCCTAATGCAAGATCTGTTCTGATTAAGATGGCTCAAATTAGAGCCATTGCATTTGAGCTCAAGCCTGAAGTTATATGCATTACGGAATCGTGGATGCATCCGGTAATTCCTGATGCTTTCCTTAGAATAGATGAGTGTGGTGTCTACCGTCAAGACCGCACTAGTGAGCGTGGCGGTGGAAGTCTTCTCTATATCAAAGGTATTTTCAAGCATTTCACGTTCGATCTGAATGCCGCTTCATTCTCTGATAATTACTGCTTTGCATCCATAATCCTGTCGCCCCGACAAAAGATGATTCTCGGATGCATCTACAATCCCCCTATCATCCCCTAAGATGATTAAAAGCTTTTCAAAATAGTTAAGCTGATATCGGAGACCGCCTTCGAAGCTAAAACTATCGCTGAGGATTTCAACTTTCCCGAAATTGATTGGCTTTCGAACTGTTATCCACCCAGGCTTTAGCCTTTCCTAGATACCATCAACTTGTCAAGTTGATCTCAGTTTGTCTGTTCCCCAACGAGAGCTAATCATATTTTAGACTTAATTTTCACGAACGACGTACATCCCGTTTCGTTGATTCTAAGCAAGGCCTCCTTCAAAGTGGACATACGTTAATCCACTGCTCTTTTCCCCTTCCTCTAGAAAAAAGGCTAGCACCGTTCGTACCCGACATGACTTTGACCTTGCTGATATTAACGTAGTTAACAATTTTGTGAACTAAATAGACTCACAGCATCTAGCCCCTACAAACAATGTACCAATCCTCTGTGACTTCATGTCGGCAGTTTCAAATAGCATCTTGGAATTTGTGCCAATAAAAAATGCTAAGCCCTAAACTTCGGACAGCACCGTTCCCCAGTTTCTTTTCCAAGACTAAAGAAATTAAAAAGACAGTTAAAAGATCGATCTACTAGTTCATTATTTGTGCGACTAAGGATCGCGGAGACTTTAGAATAAGCGTTTAAGTTTGGTCTTGCACGTGTAAAACGGGGGGATCTTGCTCATTCAGCGAGTTAAACACTGCAACATCTGTTACTTAACTGTTCCGTCGTCAGTCTTCTGTTAACTGAGGTCATAAAATAACAATAATAATAAATTGTATATTTAAGGTCCTAGGAGCCCTTTCATTACAAACTTAGTGCTATCGTGAAAATAAAAAATAAATAAAAATAAAAATTGGTTATCACAGCTGCGCGTAAGCAGCTTATGATAACAGGAATTAGGAGTATGTTACGCGTGGTAAAATGGTAGGTTAGATCCGATCAACAACGAACTTTCTTATAAAATAATTTTCTGGGCAGTAAAAAAAACTCCTACATCGGTGGATAAGTTCAACGAGCCACCGATTTCCAAAACAAATGTAGGAGAAAAAACTGCTTTAGTAGGTAGCATGGTAC